AAAAATGAGTACTTCGGCTGATTTATAAGCTTTTCTGTGTCCCCTTACAGAAGAGCCACAGGACGAGAGCGCAGAGTCTGACGATGAGGAGAAGGAAGACCACGCTGAAGTAAGTATGGATGTGAAACCCTTCAACTATGGCAAGACTGGTCGTAAAAAAAAACTCACTTAACCGCTGTCTTGCCTAACAACAGGAATTTCAGGCTCCGTTGTGGTTATAAGTCAAGAACTTCCTGTCCTAAGGGCTTTTTAAGGTTAAAACAAGCAATTTCTACCATTTATTTTTTTTTAAAATGAAGAACATGGCTCATCTCGGCGACATTCTTGTCACATTGCTGCTTCCGTTCAGTTCCTTTTCTTGTTTTATTTGAATTAATCACACTATAAATATTCCACCCGGGCCTGGAGTCATTTATTAAACGGAACTACATAATTATGCTTTTTGAGCTTTAAGTCACAGTAATAAAATCAGAAGCTGTCAAACTTGCAGATGTCACCCGGAAATAATAAAATAAGGGCTGTTACTATCCTTCAAAAGAGCAGGTGAATAATATATGCATTGCCTTGTGCGTTACTAATTCATCTGAGAAAAGGAGAGGCTCGTGTCACCGTCAGACAAAACATTGACTTTTCAAGTGTTTACATTCAAACCAACTTCTCTGCTACTGCTTTGTCGAGAAGCCAGCAGTTTTATTTCGCAAAGCGGACCTGCGAAGCAAGTTTGAATTTTGAGGCTTTGAGTAGCCAAAGTCGTTTGGTTATTTGCTCAGGTCGTGGTCTACAGTTATTCATTTCGGAATGGGTGCTCGAGATGGCCTGCAAAAGAATGGGATGATACATAATCCCTGTACAATCACTGCGTGGAAAAGCACATCCCTTCTTAGCTACAAATAGGCCTGTAGACCCAGACTATACAGGGATTCCTTGAGTTATGACTACGATTGAGCCTGATATTTCTGGTGCTAAGTGAGACATTTGCGAAGGGAGTTTTGCCTCATTGCCTCAGATGTCAAATTAGTAACATGCTTGTTAAGCGAATTTGGCTTCCCCGTTGACTTTGCTTGTTGGCAAAGCTCGCAAAAGGGGAATCACATGACCCCGGGAGACAGCAACCGTCTGTTGTGGCCAGTGGCCAGAGGAACTGGCGGCAGTCTCGGACAGTGAGGAGGTTGGGGAAGAACATGGGCCAGTCGTGGAGTCTGTGGAAGGCTCTGACAAGGGCTCTATGTCGGAGGCAGAGATGGGGTCAGGGCTGTCTTACAGTTATCATCTGCCTTCGGAGTCGGAGATCAGTGGGGAAGAAGAACAGCTGGAGCCTGTTCCCAGCATGCGCATGCACAGAGCTGCCAGAAGAAGGGAACAGTTAAGGAACAAGGGTCGACTCAGGAGTAAAGGCTCAGGTGGACGGTGAATGGCCCCTCCCATTGGGAAGAAAGAGGAGCGAAAGGGGGAATGGGGTTTGCAGGAGACATTTAGTTCAATTCGTTAAGGTGAAGATCTGTCCCTGACTTCTTGCCAAGTAATTGCTGCTACAGCATGGCGTTTGGAAGATACCGGCCTGGCAGCTCTCCAAGCCTCTTCAGTCTAGTTGTGAAATCTCATGAAAGACTCTTGGGACCTTGCTGGAGAGGAATTCACTTTAACCTAAATAAAAAGGGGTCTTATCGGGATGAGGAATCTGCTTCATGATCTTGGGAAGCCTCGGTCAGAACAGCTGCTAAAGGAGGAGAATCACACGACCCGGGGATTCTGCAGCCGCCATAAATATGAGACCAGTTGCCAAGCGTCCGAATGTAAATCACGTGATGCCGCAAGTGTCATAAGTGTGAAAAAACAGTCGCAATTCACTGTTTTCAGTGTCGTCACTTCGAACGGTCACCGAACAAACTGCTGTAAGTTGAGGGGTACCTGTGAAAAGTTGCCCTGACCTTGAAGATGATCTGTGAGATGGAAAGCCTCTTGGCTGATGGATGGGGCTGGGCTGGGCTAGGCCTGTCCTTCCTTGGAATTAACTTCTTCTTAGGAGGCAGGATTTGCAAGTTCCATTAGGAAGGGCAACCAAGATGGTTAAGGGCCTGGCTTGGCAATTCTGGGCATTGAAGTCCACCAGTCTTAAAGTTGCCAAGTTTGGAGACCTCTATCTTAATCTTAATCTATCTAACTAACAACTTTGTGGACTTCAGCTCCCAGAATTCTCCAGCCGGCCATGTCTGTTTCTTTTTTCTCTTAACCTCCTAAAGTGGAGAGATTGGAGAGGAAGGGATTACAAGAGAGTAGGCTGTGCTGGCTGGGGAATTCTGGGACTTGAAGTCCACCAGTCTTAAAGTTGCCAAGTTTGGAGGCCCCTGTTGTAAAGGATCAGCAGGAATCTGTCAACGCAGGAGCAGCCAGAGCAATTGTGACAACAGAGCACGAGAAAGCTACCTCTGCATTCCTTGCAGTAGACACCCAGGATTTACAGGTAGCCCTCGGCTTACGACCACAACAGAGGTTGGAATTATGGTGGTCAAGCCGTGGTGGTCATTAAGCAAGACCCTCACACGATCCCCTCACTGAATGACCGCAGTGCTGGCTCTCCTCATTGTGAGATGGTTAAACGGATCCTGGGGTGGGGGAGGCCACACTGTAGCCCCTCCCCAGCTGACATATGGCTTGTCCCAGGCCTCCCCCCCTCTCTCTCTCACACACACACATACGCACACGCACAAAGCACACACCGAAGAGGTCAGCCTAAAGGTGATTTGCCTTTCCAGATAGTTAAAATTATCAGCGATCAGGTAGTTAAGCATACAATGATATCTGGCTCAATTTGTTTGCACTCAACCAGATCAAATTCCTGGAAAACTAGTTTGTGCCAGCCAACACATCCGAAGAATAACTGAAGCATTGATAGGGGTGCCATGGTGTGCCTGTTTGGTCACCGATTGTTTTCTAGGTGCACTTCAAGGTGCTGCTTATGATATCTAAGGCACTTCCTGGCTTGGAGCCCAACAATTGGCAGAACTGCCTGGCCAAAATAGTTTCTGCTCGCCCAGTGAGAACAGGGAGGGTGGGTACCCTCCAGGTCATCTATCAGGGGCTAAGAAAGTCTGCTTTTATGGCGTAAGCCACCCAGAGGCTTTGGATGTGAAATGGATGGCAAATGAATTTCAGAGAATGGGGGACAGAGAGAGAGAGAGAGAGAGAGAGAGAGACATAGGTACAATATAGATGAGAGAGAGAGATAATAAGGTGGGAGAGAGATATAGTAACAATAGAGATGGATGGATAGATGATAGATAAATAGTTGTGAGAGGAGGGAGGGAGAGACATAGGTATAACAATAGGGATGGATGGATGGATGAATGGATGGATGGATAGATAGATAATGAAAGGGGGAAGAGAGACATAGTAACAATAGTGATGGATGGTTAGATGATAGATAGATAGATAGATAGATAGATAGATAGATAGATAGATAGATAGATAGGAGAGAGAGAGAAAACGGATAGATAGAAAATGTATAGATAAATAGACAATGATGGACGGATGGACGGACAGATTATGATAGTCTTCTGGTACTTGTGGGACTGTCACAGAGAAAAGAGGATGAAACTTATTCTCCAAAGGACCAGAGGGCAGGGTAGAAGCTTGTTAAGGAGAAACCCAACCTAGAAGTAAGGAGAAATGTTCTAATGGTGAGAATCAATGGAATCTGGAAAGTCTTTGACATATGACAACAATTGAGCCAAGGTCCCTTCCAGCCCTCGGGTTCTATCTTCTATGTCACAGACCGTTGACATAAGCCAGGATCTCATCCTCTTCACTCTCGACATACCACGTGTGAAGTTGTGTCTCGTGGGTTCAACAACCACAATCGCAGGAGAGAGTTCCTCCATTTCCTGCAGGAAGACAGCTTTTTTTAAAAAACAAACAAATTTTATTCAGTTTTTCACATAAAAATGAAAATTTCTTTTTAGCGGACAACGTTTTTCCAGGTCATTCCCTTTACATACAAATATGACAGCAATTATACATTCATATATGCATACTTAATTCTATTATTACCTTTTCCATTCCAAATTTTCAGTAAGGAGAGAAACAAGCACATTAATTCTAGCCTCTTTCATTAATCTCAATCGAAACATCTTTTTGTTTCGTTTCAATTATTTCAAATATAATCCTTTAATATTTATTTTAAAAATAAAGATAAACAATATAATAATAATAATAATAATAATAATAATAATAATAGTTACCAATGTCTCTCCTTGCTTTTAGTAGTCTATATTAACGTATTAATTTAGTTGGTTCTTTAGTCTGTCATATTCCCTTTCCTTTACACATTCTTTTTATAAATTCTAAATTAATACAAGTTTTAACACTAAAGAAGAAAACAAGTATAGGTTTTCCCCCTTTTACTGCTTTGAGTGTGATACCTCAATGGTTAAAATATACTTTTATTCCCTCATCTTGACTCCCAATAAATCATTATTTTTAAGAAGTTACAATAATAATAATCTTTTCATTTGGATTCCGCAGCATGTTTTCCCCCCTTAATTTTTAATCAGAGTTATCAGTATCTGTATTACCCTATTTTCTAAATATTTTTAATTGCAGAAATATTCTCATTACCCCTTGTCACCCTGCAGAATCCCCTTTTTAATTCATCAACCATTATCTCTGAAAAAACAATTTCTTTTCAACATTTTCCGTATTTTCGTATTTCTTTATTTCATGCACCCGTTTCTTACTGCTTCTTCTCCCCCTCTTTTCCCCATATCTTTTCTCATTCCAGTTTATATCCCTCTCTTTCTTAATACCTTCCTTTCCCGTTTTCTGCTGGGTCTTTCCGCCTTTCCCGACTTCACAAGTATTCCCCCTTTTGATTGCCTTCTTAAGTCTCAACTTTTTAACCTTCCTTCTTTCCCCACTTCTTTGTAGTGTTCTTTGTGTTAATTGTCTATTTCAGATGTCTTCTCCTTGATTAGACTCCTCCTCCTCTGAAGCTCTTTCTTCTTGTTCTTCAATCGCCATTTCCATTTTTTTCTAACACAGAGCAAAGTGATTCGCCTCTTTCCTGTGGTAATTCTCTCATATTTTTAAGTTCCATTTTTAATTCCCGAAGAGATATCACCATTACACACTCTTGTATTTTATGATCGTTAAAGTCCACAAAAAACACTTTTACTTTCCTTCTTTCTTCTTTCAATTATCTAAAGTTCTCAGTTATTCCAGCGCAGGGTCTATACCAAAAACATCAATCAATCCCACAGTCAGTCTTTCCTTGCTTTTTTCTTTATTCTGGTTCTGCTTTCACTTTCTACGATTCTTACTTTGTTTCAATATTTCTTTAATGTTATAACCACACAAGTTCATTCAGAAAAAGGATGCTTTCCCTTGTTTGAGCTCAAGTTTTTGTCAAAAGGTGGCACTCTCCATTATACAAAGTCTTCATCTTTTTCCCCTATTTTTTTATTTAGGGTTTTTCGAACTCCAATATTCCAGGACGGTCCAGTCTCCAATTTGTAAACTTTATTATTATTATTTTTTGACAATCTTAAGTCCAGCTTTATTTTATGCCTGTTTATTGCCAAATATTTAAGTCCAATTTAGTTAAATCTTTAGTTCCGGCTTCCTCCTTTCCCAGTTCGAAGCCCCGCTTAGCTGTCAAAAATATTTTCTTATTTTTTTTCCTGTCCCTTTGTAATTTCGCCGCTCACTTTTCTTTTCTTAAAAATTCCATGTTACCTTTTAATCCTGGGGTACTTTTGTTTAGTTGTATCCCCCAATTGTCCCGGTTCAGATGGTATCCACCTCTTTCTTCCCTCCTGCACAAATCTGAATCCAGCTGAGTCCTCCTCTTCGGGGTGGCCATTTTAAACCACCGCTGCAGTCGTCTTTGGGGGTAAAAAGACAAAGCCCGGGGGGGAGATGCGGCTCCCCTCAACCTGGCTTGCGGCTTCCCCTTACTCCACCGCCCCTCCAAGGCAGCTTCAGCCCCTAATCGTAATGATCGGGGCTCTCCAACGAAAGAGCACAGACCATAGCCACAGTGAGTCGCGATCTACGGTTCGTCAGCAAGGAGGCTCCGCCTTCTTTCAGAAAGACAGATGTTTTATCGGTAGCTTGGCAAGCCAGGGCTCTTGACGATTCCACTCTGGTCCATTTACAATTTGAAAGGCAGCTGCGTTTCTCTGCTGCTTCCCCTGCGAGCTGGGCTAGTTCAGCCTTCTGATAACACAATATAGATAGTCCTTGACTTACAACTGTTGGCTTAGTGTGCTGTGGCCTGTCAGCGGCCAGCAAAGCTGGCGGCAGAATCGGACAGTGAGGAGATTGCGGAGGAGCATGGGCCAGTCCTGAAGTCTGGGGAAGGCTCTGACGAGGGCTCTGTGTCAGAGGCAGAGATGGGGCCAGGGCCGTCCAACAGTTAGCAGCTACCTTCGGAGTCGGAGATCAGTGGGGAAGAAGAACGTCTGGAGCCTGATCCCAATGTGTGCATGCACAGAGCTGCCAGAAGAAGGGAACATTTAAGGAACAAGGGTCAACTCAGGAGTAAAGGCACAGGTGGACGGTGAATGACACCTCCCATAGGGAATAAAGGGGAGTGGGGTTTGTAGGAGTCAATTAGTTCGTTTATTTAGTGTGAAGATTTTGGTCAGACTCCTTGCCAAGTATTTGCTGCTACAGCGTGGCGTTTGGAAGCTATTAGCCTGGCAGGTCTCCCAGCCTGTGGTTGTAAGTTTGCTTGGCAACTGTTATGACGGTCGCAGTGTCCTGGGATCATTTGATTCCCCTTTGGGAAATCTCCCGACAAGCGGAGTCAACGTTGAAGCCAGATTCACTTAACAACCATATGACTTATTTAAGAATGGCGGTGATCCAACTTAAAACAAGCGGGACCAGAAAAGTCGTAAAACGGAGCAGAACTCACTTAACAAATTTCCCGCTTAGCAACACAAATTTGGGGCTCAGAGTAAAAGGAGCAGGATTGAGCTGGGAGTAAAAAACGGTAGGATATGAGTAAGTAGCGCCTCCCTGATTAGGTGCCCTCAAACCAATCCAATCGCTACATAAATCAGTGACTCTCTCCGGCGCTTTCTCGTGGCAGGAGGACCACAACAGCATGGAGGCCGATCTGGACAAAGATGAAGTGTTACAAGCCCAGCAGGGAGAACTTTCCGGAGAAAAACTCCTGACCACCGAATATTTGGGAGTAAGTACAGCACTTTGGAGGTGATTGGAGCATGTACGCGGCCAAGGGTGGGGCTGCTACCGGTTCTCACCGGTTTGTGAGATGCTAATTTTACATCGGGTTCACTGAATTGGTAGTTGCAGCGGCTGGCTGGCCGCTTCCACCCCCTCCCACCACCTCCCAGGGGTCTCCATGCAGCCTGTTTTGGATCCCAGGTAAGTGAAGGGCCCTCACGGGGGCTCCGGTAGGGGGGAAATGGGCCTTCCGGAAGCTCAAGGAAAGCCTCCGGAGCCCAGGGTGGGCAAAAATTGCCCCCCCCCCCCGCCATGGTGCAGGTGGCCGACTAGGCCATGCCCACTGTGATGACCGGGGGCGTGACACAAAAATAACCAAGTCACAAAAGTAGTATAAATTCCCTTTAATGCCTCCAACTTGGCCCCCAATGTGCAATTATCCTCGGCTGGATAACAAACTCTTCCAAAAAGAGTCTACGAAGGGCAGAAATGCAGTCTGAACCCAAAGTAAATATAATTAGGAATTAAAAAACCCGCACAAACCACACTGAAGTAATTAACACGGCAGGCCAGGATGATAAACGGCAGACTTTCAAAGGATAATGCAGCACCCACAGTTGGGAAGATGCCAAAACCCAGATAAGCCCCGACCAAGATAATGCACGCTTTGCTTCCAGCAAGGAGCCGTGTGCAAACGCCCCACTTATATCCTGTTCTCCCAGCTACAGCCCATGAAGGGGATCAGGGCCCTTTCCTCTCCTGTAAGCCACGTTGCTCCCTTCTCCATTCCTCCCTGTGTGTCCTAGGAGGAAGAGCGGGTGGGCCTGGGTCCTCCTTTGAATGCCCAGCCAGACTGTGCCCTTCCCCCGTTTCCTCCACAGCCACCGGAGCCACATTCCCACTCCCTGTCAGCTGCTCAATCTCCCCCCACAGAATCAGACTCCAACAAGGGCATGACGCTGGCTGATCACTCCTTTCCGCCAAAGACCAAACTGGATTCTTCCAGTGACATTTGAATTTATTAAGGGGGGCATAAGAAGGCTCCCCGGCTCCTCTCTCTTGAAGCCTTGGCGGTTTGAAGATGTGTGGACTCCCAGAATGCCTCAGCCACAAAAGATGGCTGTTGTTCTTGTTGTCGATGTCCTCCTCCTCCTCCTCCTCCCTTGTAGCACTGATGATGTTACCCAGTTAGGTCATGAAACGTCTGCAAAAAATCAACCAAGCTCAGAGAGCTTGAAGGACCTCAAAGTTCTCCTCCACCTTTCTTCGTCCTCTCTTCTAGCACTGATGTACTATTGACCTCACCCCTTTCCTAAGAGGTCTGTAGCGGGGCGTGTATAAGCGCTTCTACCTATATAAGCGTCCTATCTATATACCAATGTGCCAATTTAATTTCCTCTTTTGACCTATATTCTACTGTCTACCCATTGATACCCAATGTTCCAGATGGAGTAGTATTATTCTGAGTGTTCTTTATCATTTAATTTCATCGTGAGTCTATCCATCTTATGCCCATTCCAAGATTTTACGAATTATAACTTCATCAGACGGAATGGTAGACATCTTCCAAGCCTGCGCTAGCGCAATTCTTGCCGCCATTATTCTATGTATAATCAAGTATCTAATTTTTTCTCCTTTTTTTTCCACCGCTCTTCTCATCTCAGATCATGACCAACACGCCCAAAGCGCGGAAGAAGTCCATGCCCGGCCTCCATCACAGTATGGACGAGCCCCTTCAGAGACCCGTGACCCCTGGCTACCACAGGGCCCATTACCCAATGTAAGTCTGGGCAGACCCACCCAAAACTCGGAGAGCCTTTTTCTTTTAGCCGTGTTTCTGATTCATAAGAGATGTAATTCAGGTGTGAAAAGGTACCGATGAAATAAAAGGCAACCACAGACGAGAGGAAATGGAGCTTACTGTGGTTTTCGTTTTGCTTTTTGGAACAAAGAAGGTTCCTTTAGAAAAATGGGGGCCAGAAAGAACGCGAGGCCCAGTTAGGCCTTCACTTAAAAGCCATAATTGAGCACAGAATTTCTTTTGCTAAGCGAGGCATTTTTAAACTCAGTTTTGCCCCAAATTAGAGGCGACATACCTGCACTGCCCTGTTTGAAGGCAACTCTGGCCTACATCATTTACAGTCCCCTGTGACCCTGTTTCCCCCCTCTCACCCCTGGGTGTGTCATAAATCAGATTCTCCAATTGAGTACCTTCACAGGCTGGGCGTCATCCATCACATTCTCCAATTAAATATATTCCCCGGCAAAAGCTCTGGTAGTTTAGTTACAATCTTTTAAAGATAAAGAGTTGGAATAGACTTCCGCTTCCAAACCGCTGCAGATTTCCTTCGCCCTCCCTTTTTAATGGCAACTACTAAAACAGCCCTAGGAATGTTTTATGTTGACAAACTGCAGTTAAGTTGTATCAGGGTTGTTAAGTGAATCACTGTGTCAGGATTCCAGCAATCGCCGAATACCAGAAGTGACGAAACGGTCTATTCGCCCTGCAGAGGCTTTTTTCAAGCTTCTAGGAGGCTGAAAAAGGCTCAAACCAGCCAAAAATCAGCTGTGAGGCGCAGTGCAGGTAATGGGTGGGTGGGTGGGATTGCGCACGCATATGCAGGGGACATGGGGGAGCACGCATTGCCTTCTGGGTGCTGGCACATGACCGCACGTGCACCAGCCCACACACAATTTTTGGCACAGGAGCCCAAAAAGGTTAGCCACCACTGGGATGGGATATAGGATAGGTTAAGATAGGAGATAGGATAGGAGATAGGATAGAATAGAGGAGAGGAGAGAGGATAGGATAGTGTTGCGTGGCCCATTAGCAGCCAGCAGAGCTGGCGGCCGACTCGGACAGTGAGGAGGTTGGGGAGGAACCTGGGCCAGTCCTGGAGTCTGGGGAAGGATCTGACGAGGGCTCTGCGTCGGAGGCAGAGATGGGGCCGGGGCCGTCTGACAGTTATCAGCTGCCTTTAGAGTCAGAGATCAGTGGGGAAGAAGAACAGCTGGAGCCTGTTTCCGATGTGCACATGCACAGAGCTGCCAGGAGAAGGGAACAGTTAAGGAACAAGGGTCGACTCAGGAGTAAAGGCTCAGGTGGATGGTGAACGTCCACTCCCATAGGGAATAAAAGACAAATTGGTTCATTTGGGTGAAGATCTTCCTGCATTCTTGCCAAGTATTGTCTGCTACAGTGTGGCATCTGAAAGATATCGGCACGGCAACTCTTCAAGCCTGATAAAGGTCTGTGGTTGCGTAATCTCACTGTTGGCCAGGATTTTGCTGGATAGGAATTCCCTTTAATCTAAATAATAGGGGTTTTTATTGGCTTTGTGCTGTTGAGGAAGCCTCGGTCAGAACAGAGAGGAGATAAGAGAGGAGAGGAGGTAGGATTGGATAGGATAGGATAGCCTCTATTGTCACCTTTTCCTGTGAACACACTGGCAATTTCTATGGGGGTTGCAAAGTAAGGGAGGATATTAAATTTTGGCAGTGCAACTCAGTGTGTGTGTGTGGGCGGGGGTGTCACAGCACTCTGAACACGAGGCTTGGGTTGTGGGTCCATTTTTGTCAGGGGTTTGCCTTCCTAGCGTCCGACCTCTGGTTGCGAGATCTTTACCCTTCGAGTTTTGTACCAGAGGGAACCAAACCTAAGTAGCTAAATGCTGCCCGGCCAAAATAAACAAATTTAAGAGTGATTGAAGGCCAGGAGGAATTTAAAGATCGTGAGGAGATACGACCTGCCCTGTTCCTTGAAAGTTCAAGTGCTCACGTATCTGGAGATTAACGGAGAGATAATGGTCCACCTGTTTTTCAAAATTGCTGCTGTTATTATTATTTTTTTAACTTCGATTGCTTCACCGGTGTTGTTTTTTTTAAAGAAACCACCCGGCTTCTAAAGCTTCGATTCTTACCTTACCAGTTAGCAGCATCATTAATCAGTGGAATGTCCTGGCTCCAGAAATTGTGTGGCTGTTCCCACACTGGAGGCTTTTAAGAAGAGGCTGGACATCTATCTGCCTGAAATGGTAGAGGGTTTCTTGCTTCAGCCTGGGGTTGGACTAGAAGACCCCCCAAGGTCCCTTCCAGCTGTGTGATTCTGTTCCATCCAGTACATTATTTTTCAAACATAAACAGCTCTGATGCTGGGAGAGATTGGAAAAATCAAGCAGATTTATGAAGAGACCCTAATCTAGAAAAAGTGCAGAGAAGAGCAACCAGGAGGATGAGGGGACTGGAGGCTAAAATATATGAAGAACGGTTGCAGGAACTGGGCCTGGCTAGTCTAGGCAAGAGAAGGACCAGGGGAGACAGGAGAGCATCTTCCAATATTTGAGGGGCTGCCCCAGAGAGGAGGGGAAGAGAAGTCCTATACACAGGCAAGAAAAACCAAAAGTACACATATAGACTGGGTGAAACCAGGCTCAATAGCAGGAACTGGGAGAGGGATCTTAGTGGAGTCTTAGTGGACAACCAGCTAAATAGGAGCCAGCAATGTGTGGTGGCAGCCAAAAGAGCCAATGCAATCCTAAATTGTATTAACAGAGGGATACATTGGAGACCAAGGGAGGTGCTAATACCCCTCTGTAAAGCCTTAGTAAGGCCACACCTAGAGTCCCTCATCCAGTTTTGGTCACCACACTATAAAGAAGGTGTTGAGACTCTAGAAAAAGTACAGAGAAGAGCAACCAGGATGATAAGGGGAAGATTGGAGGCTAAAACATACGATGTACAGTTGCAGGAACTGGGCCTGGCTAGTCTAGGGAAGAGAAGGACCAGGGGAGACAGGAGAGCATCTTCCAATATTTGAGGGGCTGCCACAGAGAGGAGGAGGGGGGTCAAGCTATTCTCCAAAGCACCTGAAGGCCAGACAAGGAATAATGGATAGAAACGGAACAAGGAGAGATTCAACCTGGAAATAAGGAGGAATTTCCCGACAGTTGGAAGAATTAATCAGTGGAACCATTCGCCACTAGAAGTTTTGGGTGCTCCAACACTGGAAGCTTTTAAGAAGAGATTGGACAGCCACCTGTCCAGAATGGTATAAATAGGCTCTCTGTTTGAGCAAGGGTTGGACTAGAAGATCTCTGGAGGTCCCTTCCAACTCTGTTCTTCGATATTCTCCTCTAGAGAGTTTGTCAAATCGTTTCTAAGCATCGCTTTGTTCCATGCCCACCACCTGGTAGGTGTGGGGAGCTTTCTCAAACTTGCGTAAGGTTGCTGCATGCAGGAAGTAACAGTGGCCGGTCTCTGTGGCTAACAGGCATGGCTGCCGTTTCCCATTTTTGATGATAAGGCTGAATGGCCTTACGTCTAGAATTGCGCTTGTC